TGGCAGGGAAGGCCGGATGGTGGTGCTATCCTTGGTCTTAGGGCTTTCGGAACAGGATGACTTTGCCAATATCCCTGACCTGCAAAACCCAGGAACCCAGCAGAACCAGAACGCTCAGGGGGACAAGAGGTACGAGCACAGGCGAGGGCCTGCGGCGGCGGCAGCAGAGGAGGAGGCGTGGAGAGGCCACCAGCCTCGACCGCCAGTCGCTGGACGAGGCGGCGGTGCCTTCAGTGGATGCTGGAGCAGGACAGCCCCCTCCCCAGCCGGTGCCCCTCACACATGCCACCTTGGTGGTGTCCCTCAGGTCTGAGGCCCGTGTGGCTGTCCTGGGACCATTCTGGATCAAGCCTGCTCCCCGGGCATGCCTGCCCTCGCCCGGAGCAAGCCAGCCTTTCTGCCCCATCTTCCCGCTTGGCTCCCCTCTGCTGCACCCTCATCTTTCATCTCTGCCCCACCCCGACCCAGAAATCCCAGTTTCTCCGGTGGTTGGTGGGCAGCGGGGATGTTAGGGAAGGGGCGCCAGCCTGTTCTCCCTCATCCCCGCCACCTCAACCTCCCTCTTGCCTGGAGGGCCCGCTGGGGTGACGGTCACACACACACACACACACACACACACACACACCCCCTGCAGAGATGTGATATGGCTGCTCTCGGCTGATGGAAGAGGAGCCCCTGGTGGGAAGGGTCTGGGGCCTGGGAGAGGCCTGGTGACCAGAAAGGCAGCCCCTGAGCCCGAGGTACCAGGAGAAGGAAATGGGATAGGGGGGTGGGGGTGGGGCGGTGAGAGCAGCCGGCAGGTGCTGGTCAGGCCCTCTGTCACCGGGAACCCTGCTGCTGGTCCTCAGGAGTAGCCTGTGTGGCTGCAGCACAGGCTGAGCCGAGGCCTGGGCATTCAACCATCCGTGGCCCTGGCCACCAGGAATGCAGGGAGGCATCTTCGGATGTCCCCGTTAGAAGCGCTCTCACGGGGAAGGCGACAGGGAAAGATCAGAGGTCCCAGGGTTCAGGCAGCATCACTAAGGTGGGATGATCCTGCACCTGGTCTGGCCGCTTCTTCCCACCTGGCCTTGGGCTGGGCCAGCCACACACCTGTGATCGTGGGAGGAGGGCTCATCACCTTGGTCAGGTGTGCTTTTCATCAGAAAAGGCCTACAGGAGAGTGTGGCCTGGCAGCCAGGCTGCCTCCTTGTAGCTCTGCTACCAGAACCTCGTTCTGCAACCTTGGGCAAGTCACAGACCTTCTCTGGGCCTCTGCTTCCTCACCTGTCCAATGAAGGATTGGACAGGGTGACCCCTTCGAGCTCGGACATGCTAAGCCTCTAATGAGGGAGCAGACCCTCGGACTGGGGCACTTGTCAGAGCCTGTCAGCCAGGCGGAGACCCTGACACTTGCTTATTAAGAGGCCTGAAGGTGCAGGGAGGGACTGTCCCGGGCTGCTGCCAGGGGCCTGTGTGTTAGGGGAGGACAGGCCGAGTTAGCTGACTTGCCTGTCCCTCTGGTGGCTTCTGGAAACCAACTCTCTTATTTTCTTCCCATCCCGAGTTCACAGTTGCATGTCTATGGTGGACAAAGCCAGAAGTCCCCAGAGACTGGGAGGGGAGAGTGGGACCAGCTCTTTCACTCAGTGGTACAGATGGTGTCACACCGTGAGCCCAGGTCCTGGGGTGCGGGAGGAACGGAGTCTGCCACCTCCAACCCACTGGAGCCACCGGGGTCCTGGCTTCCTGAGCTCAGGGCTCAGAGCTGGGCTGCAGGCGGGCCAGCGGGCCATGGGGAGAGGGCTGGGGGCCATGGGCCCGAGGCTACAGGAGCAGGGCAGCAGCCCTCTGAAAACCTGCTAAGGACCCCCTTGTCGAGAAAGGTGTGAAGCGTGAGGGAGCAGATGCAGGCTGGAAACGAGATTTCATGTCACCCGTGTGTTAATGAACTGGCTCCATTTTCACCCACAGCCTATTTTTACCTCCTTGCCACTTAGGTCTCACTCCATATTTTAACACACTCACTCACCCCTTCTGATCATTACATCAGTCGTCCCCTGCCTCCCTGGGAAAGGTGGGTGTGGAGCTGGAGGCCCTGGGCCCACGCCCCAACCCAGCCCGACTTTCCCAGTGGACACAGGCCATTCCCACCCGGTCACGCCCACCCCATCCTGGAAGCTCATTTCTCGAGGCTCTTGGGGAGTTTCCCAGGTGATCGGCCACTGCAAGGGTGCTTCCTGCCCGGCACTCTCCCATCCCCAAGCTTGGCGTTAGCACCACCCACAAGGCGCTTTAGGGCTCCACCCCTCTGGGTTCCTGGCTGCATGAATCTTGGAATGGTGGGCTTGGGTCAGCTGTCCCTTCCTCCTCAGCTTCTGCCTCCAGACCCAGGGTCTGCCCTTCGGCCCCAGTGCCCCCTTCACCCAGCTGACCCCTTGGCTGGATGTCACCGGGGTAATGGGGGGGTGGCCCTTGGCTGTTGTTGGGGAGGACATTCTGCCCCCGAGGTCTATTAGCAGCAGGCTCCTGGGAGACAGGAGGGCCCTGGGAGGAGGAGTGGCCACTCCAGGTCCCAAGCAAGGTGGGGTGCATCTAGCAAGTCGCTGCCCCCCATTCCCAGGGTCCTTGGTGGCCCTGAAGCCCCGCATCCAGGATCCCCCAAGCCCCTGGGCCTCAGCGCGGGGGCCCCAAAAACTTCGGAATGCTGCTGGGCCCAGGAGGGAGGGAAGGAGGCCAAGGCCGCCCCTGGCTCCCACGCCCTGCTGTGCCCGTTCCACCTCACCCATGCTGCCCCGCACCCATGCGCACCTCATGCTCTCAGCCACCCTCTCACCCTTGCTCCTTGGGATCCGAATGGTTTCCCCCGTGGCCCCACCCCCACCGGAGTTGGGGGCGGGGCCAGGCGGGACCTGGCCACCCCCACGCTGCCCTCGCTCCGAGGCCACCATGTTTCTTCTGTCCCAGTTTGTGTCCCCCGCCTGCTCTCTGCCTCTACTCTCCTCGTCCCCTCGTCCACCCCGCAGCCTCTTCACTCGTCTCCGACTAACCTTTCTCGGCCTCTCTCTCCCTCCCTCCCCTCCCTCCCCGCCTCCTTCCTCCCATCTGCTCCTCACAGGGATGTCCCTGGGCCAGTGACCGGCCCTCCGCCTCTCCCTCTGCCTCTGTGCTCCTGTCTCTCTGTCTCTTTCTGTCCTGTGACCTCCGATAGCTTCAGTGGCGCTGACCATCTCTTCCCAGGCTGCTCTGCAGCTGTGCTGACGCTGTGGTGTGGCCAAAATAACTCTGACTTTCTCATACCTTCAGCAGTCAGTCTCGGCTCTCTCCTCTCCCACTCTATTTTTAACCTGACTTTACCTCTCCAGCTATTTCAGCCTCCTCCTCCCCGTGCCTGTCTGTGTGAGCACATGTCCGTGTGTGTATATGTGCGCGTGCTCTGCTCTGGCCGCACCTCTGGGAGGGCGCCCCGCGCCTCCCGGGTGGGGTGGGGCGTTTCCGTGTCGTCCGGGCAAGGCCAGGCCCTCACAGCAGGTGCGCCGTGCCTCTGATTCTCAGAGCGTCTGTCCCTGAAACCGCTCCCCGCTTTTTTGTTTCAGCGTTTCCCAATTTACACGCGCACCTTGGCATGCCGGGGCCTCCCTGAATGTATGTCCTCTCAGGATCTAAGTGTGCACATTGCTGTATGTCTGTCATCTTGCTGCTCTGGTCGACCTGCCTGGTTGCCCCTGCCATTCTCTCCCTGTTGCCCTGGGTGTCTGTCAGGCTTGTGTGCACTCGTGTGTGTGTGTGTGTGTGTGTGTGTGAGTGAGAGAGAGAGAGAGAGAGAGAGAGAGAGAGTGCGTACACCCTGCTGTTGGGTCCTGGTGTCTCTCCTCCAGGGCCTGGCATATCCTGTGCATGTCTGTCGTAGTCAACCGTGTGCTGGAGGCTGGTCCGTTCCGAGGGCCACGGCTTGTGTCCAGCCTGTGTGTGTCTCTGAGTCTGTGGCTCTGGTACTCTCGAAGCTGTTCTATTGTAGCCCATCCTGAGCCCTGTGCTCCCATCACCCCGTCTTCCTCACTGCCTGCCCCCATCTCTCCTCCTCATGGGGTGTTCCAGCCTGGTCCCTGGGCAGGCTTTTAATGCCCCCTTCCGGAACCCCAGCTAGACGGAGACTGGGCTCACCACCCAGCCTCTGGGCCAGAGAGCCCAGCTTGCCGGGGGCAGCGTGGAGCTGGGGTGCACACAGGGCCTGGAGTGGAGCCGTCAGATCTGGGGTTTTTCGGTGGGACCCTGTCTTTCTCTGACCCTGGGCGAGAGCCTTATCAAATGTGTAGTCCTCAGAGTGGGAGAAGGGTGGGGTTTGGGCAAGGGGGTGTAGATTTGCCCTGTCCAATAGGTGACTATTTAAATCTAAATTAGTTTAAGTCAAACAACCATGAAAATTCAGTTCTCAGTCATACTGGCCACATTTCAAATGCTCAATAACCATGGGTGGACATAGAAAGTTCTATTGGACAGAGCTGTGCGGACAGTGGTCCTGAGCTCACCTGGTCAGTCTCGTGTCTAAAGGGCACCTGTGTTCCCGCTGAGCCTGAGCAAACAGGTGGGGCCTCCAGGAGACAGGTGCTCTGGGAGTGTTTGCCTAGGGTAATGACGCGGAGAGAGGACACGCCGTCTTGGGAGCCTCCCCGACGGCCTCCCAGGCTGGGGCAAGCAGGGATGGATGGAGCCTCTGGGGAAGGAGGATGCTCAGAGACCACCATGCAAGCAGGGGCTGAAGGGTGGGGGATTTTCTGGGGAACAGCAGGAGTGGGAACACTGGCCGAAAAGGCACCTGACAGGGGAAGTCCAAGCCGGATCACGCTGGGGCAGAGGCGAGGGGGACGGCCCTGCCCCCATGGACAAAAACGTAGCTCCTGCTGGCCCGCAGCAGGGGGCAGCTACTTGGGTCTCGGAAGGTTCTGCTGCCACCCAGACCCGTGGCGCCCAGCCCAGCCCACCTCTAGGTCCATGCTCATTCGGATTCCTCCCGCCCCCAGGTTGCCTACCGGAGGGAAGGCAGTGAACACAGCCCCAGTGCCGGGCCAGACGCCCCACGATGAGTCTGACCGCCGGACCGAGCCTCACTCCTCCGTCTCAGATCTCGCCAACTCCCTCACCAGTGAGATGCTCATGGTGAGAAGGGCAGGAGGCCCGGGGCAGGGGGAGGGGCAGGTGTGGAGATTGGTGACAGCGTGGGAGTCACACAGGGGAACCAGCATGGTCATCTGTCAAGAGAGACTAAGAATTCCCATCCTCCTCCAGTCTCTGGATTGAGCAGGGGCCCAAGAAATCTGCTATGTGATCCTAGAAGGAAAGGCTAGTGGAGCGAGGACTTGGAGGCGGAAGGTGTCCCCTCTCTTGGGGTGGCATCCCACTGAGTATCGGTCTCAGGTGGCGCTCCCAGTGGAGCAGGTCTCATATCCTCATCCCAGGGACCATCCCCAATCCCCATGGCTGGGGGGCCAGCTGAGGCCCAAAGAGAACAGGAGAGCAGAACCCCTCTGGTCCTAGTTCCTATGAGGGGACAGCTGTGCTGGGGCTCTCCTGTCCACACGCCAGCCTCCCGGGATCCCTGTCTTATGGATCTGGGGTGTTTTCACCACGGGAGAGGTTGTGGCTTCACATGGCGCCCCCTGGTGGCATCAGTGAGTCACAGCCATTTGCCTCATCTGTACTTTCCAAAGAGCTCCTGGAGGGACCAAGGCCCCAGGGCGAGCGAGCACACACTGTGATTTGGCAGCTGGAGTTTTCAGGCGGGAGTCAGTCACAGGCTTGGCAGCCCAGAGTTTCCAGGAAGGCTGGGTGAGGACGTGAGGGTGGGAACCCGGTGCCTGCTAGGTTCCTACTGGGACCTGGGCCCCCCTTCCTCTTCCCCCTTCCCTCCTCCCTGTCTCCCCCCTTCCTCCCAGAGAGGGAGGGAAGGGGGCTCGGTGGGCTCTCAGGCCCTCGCCAGACCTGACGTCATTCAGTTCAGAGGCCCCTTGCCCACTGCTCTGACACCGCAGCCCCCAGCCTCCCCGGGGCCCCCAGAGCCCCCAGGCCCCACCCTCCTGCCATTCAGGGCTCGGCTGGCTCTAACCATCCATCCGCACTCCTCTTTTCTAGCCCAGCGCCTCTCAAATTGTGATAGGCACACGAATCACTGGGGGATCTTGTTAAAATGCAGATTCCCAGTCAGCAAGCCTGCTATGGGCCCCCAAATCTGCGTTTCTCTCGGATGCAGATTAGAGCATCAGATTTTCCACGTTCCAGATCTGGTCTCCCTTGGGCCTCCCCACCTCTCCCCTCTCCCTGCCTCCTGGACCCTGAGTGCCTGGTCCTGCACCACCTCCTCCCTGTCTTCCCACATCCATGTAGATCAACCCGGCCATCCTCTCCTCTGGACGGGCCATCGCCGCAGTCCATCCTGCCTCTCTGTGCAGCCTCTTAATTGGCTACAGCTTCCCGGTAGCCAGGTTCCCAGAAGGGACGGCCCTTGCCCAGCCAGCTTGCCTACCCCTTGCTGCCCCCGGTTCGGGGGGTGGGGGAAGAGCCGCAGGCAGAAGGAGGAAGTGCAGGCCCCAGCGCCCTCTCACGTGCTCAGCAGATGCTCAGAGGTGGGCAGGCAGGGTCTAATTGCCTAGCCCTAGGCCAAAGCTGGGTCACTGGCATTATTAGCGATGATGAAGATGAACAGGGCAGAAGTAAACCATCGGCTGATCTCCCTGCCCCAGGCGTGGAGAAACAGGAGTCAGGCACCCGCAGCCTTGCAGACAAAGGGACCGAGGTGACGGGGTCAGAGAGGAGGCTGGGCCGCATCCCCATCTGAGTTACTCATGCCCTGCTTACTTCTGCTGGAGCTGGGGCTCAGGCAGCACCTCCTCCAGCCCTTGGTTGGGGGGTGGCTAGCCTGGTTGCCATGAAAACAGATCCAGGCCCCGCCCCAGCTGGTTAATTAAGGCTCAGGGCTGTGGTTTGGAAAGGCTGGGGGTGAGCACAGAGCCACTGCCCACTTCTGAGGTGAAGTCCACTGGCCCAGCTTGGGCCTCTCCCCCCAGACTACCTTGTTTGGGAACCAAGATCCAAGTGACCAGCCTCAGGTGAGGCTCCAGTCACCAGGGACTCCACCCCAACTTTAGAAGGAATGTGGAGGGGCAAGTGGTCGTGGCAGGGACTGCACGCCCAGGCTCTCAGTCCATGGCTAGCAGTGGCAGGCACCAGGCCACAGAGCAGGACCACGAAAGTGATGTAAACCCCCCCTTAGCCTTCCCTGGGACCCCGTAACATAGGTCTGTCTCATGGTCCCATTCTACAGATGCAAAAACTGAGGTTAAAAGGGAGTGGGGCTGGTAGGAGGAGAAGGAAGGAGCGCCAGGGGAAAACTGGATCTGGGTCGGGAAGCCAGATTCTCAGCGGGCCTGGGTGGAGCTTGCAGGGCTGCCTGGATCCTGCCAAGGGGCAGGGCTTGAGGGACCTGCTTCCACTGTGAGAAGAGCAAGGGAGGCAGCTCGGCCCCCCTTCCATCTCCACGCAGGACCAGGGGTGTGGCTAGTGAAGCCCCAGATCTGAGTGTGAGAGTGAGGGCAGCTGGAAGTGCACTCATGGTGGCTAGGCGCTGACTTGGGTTCGAACTCTGGGCTCATCTCTTAGTCACAGGCGACTTGAGTATAGTTGATTTACAGTGTTGTGTTAGTTTCAGGTGTACAGCAAAGTGAATCAGTTGTATGTATACATATCTCCACTCTTTTTTAGCTTCTTTTCCCATATAGGTCATTACAGAGTACTGAGTAGAGTTCCCTGTGCTATACGGTAGGTCCTTATTAGTTATCTGTTAACCACCAGGTGGCTGGGGAATGGGCAAGATTCTAAAACCTAACCAGGTGTCCCCAACGAGCAACCGCAGCTGGAAACACTTGGCTGGGAGACCCTCCCCCGAATTACTTCCTATTTTTTCAACATCCTCCTGGGAATGGGACACCATGCCACCTCCCACATGTCTGTCGGTTGCTGGGTCGGCTCAAGTGCCACCCCCGGGGGATGAGGGCTGAATGCAGGTGTAGCCTTCCCGTGGTCCTCAGCCTTGGTTTGCAGTACTGTCATCTGAGGCTCCTATTACACAATTCTGCTGCCCAGGGCCACCCCAGACCCATCAAATGAGGCTCCCCAGGGATGGGGCCTGGGAATCTGTACTTTTAGTGTCCCTGCCTTACACAAACAGACGTTGCTTCTGAAAACTCGCCTCTCTCATTTTGTAAATCACATCATCCTCAGAACCCCAGAGAGTCACTTTCCAGAGAAATATCGTGGTAAACTCTTTTGAGATGAGAACAATCTCCCTCATCTGTTTTGTAGCCCAGGTTTTTGTGTCGGTGTATTTTGCAGGGGACCCCGCAGGGCTGTTGGAAGAGTGGAAAGATGGAGGAGGGGGCTCGGGGGGCGGGTCCCAGGGTGCACCAGGGGAGGTGAAGCAGACCCAGGGCTCCGAGGAGAGGCTGGGAAGTGGGGTGCACGCCGCTCTGGGGTTCAGGGGCTGTCCCGGCTCTGCCCCTCCCTCCCTGTGTGACCCTGGTCAAGGCACCTGCCCTCCGCCTCAGCAGCCTCACCCAGATCTGAATGTGGGATGTGCCACCACCAGCCCCGCGTGGTGACCAGGGGGAGGAGGCGGCTGGACTGGCCTTGGGCACAGCGAGGCCTCCCAACCCTGCTGGGCTGCAGAGGGTCCTTCAGGGAAGCAGAATCCTCCCCAGCGCTGCCTGCCTCTCCCCCCGCCCCCAGCTCTCCCCAGGCTCTGAGGAGGACGAGGTCCACGAGGGCTGCAGCCGAGAGAACCTGGGCCGGATCCAGTTCAGTGTCGGCTACAACTTCCAGGAGTCCACGCTCACCGTGAAGATCATGAAGGCCCAGGAGCTGCCGGCCAAGGACTTCAGCGGCACCAGCGACCCCTTCGTCAAGATCTACCTGCTGCCAGACAAGAAGCACAAGCTAGAGACCAAGGTGAAGCGGAAGAACCTGAACCCCCACTGGAACGAGACCTTCCTCTTTGAAGGTGAGGCTGTGCTGCCCCTGCCCCCAGAGTTCCCCTCTTCCCCTCCTCCCCCCCCCCCCCC